GAGTGGTTGAAACTTGAAAGGATACTATTTGTTTTTGGAATGACAGAAATGGATGGGCCAGTTCTAAATCTTAAACGAGACAACACATAACCTCAACGCCACGTATCAACACAACCACACCCACATGCCTGTCCTATATTATTAATAACCTAGCAAACATCACCTAATACCATTTGGATTGGAAAACCAAAATTTATGTGGAATATTTTTGCTCACCGCATTCGGTTGGCAATAATGCTCATCACAGGTGAATTTAAATTTAGAAATTTTGGAGAAATGTGCATTGAATAGAAACAAATATTAAAATTTAAACTTATTTAACGGTGATAAACAAAATGTAAGCAAAAATGCATCCAAGCACAAAATTTTGAACAAAAAACGTAAGGATAAAACAGAAATTTTCAAACAACCTATATGGCTTCCTGTGCGATCGACACGTGGCAGATTCTTTTGGCTTTTCAATTTTTTTCTTTAAAAATAAAAAATAAAAAAGACGCGTATGAGGACATCTGGGGTGTATATAAAGCTCAGCTTCCAGGTTGCCGTTACCTTAACTTCTCAAAACTCGTCATCATCTGCATTCAGAAGCTCTCAAACTTTCTGGATTTTCAGAAGTTAAAGCCACAAAAACCAATCTTTCAATTGTTTTATTCTGGGTTGTGAAAAGTTTGAGTCTTTCGGGTAGCCGGGTTTTTGGGAAATGCAGGTTTCGGTATTTCGCGGCTCTCAGGCGGCGGTCGGAAAGACCGAGTTGGGGCGAACGGAGCTTGGGTTTTGTAAATTGAACGGAAATTTGAAGACCAACGTCTGTTTTGGTCAGAGCACGAGCTGGAAAAATGAGCGGCTTCAGTTTACTGTGAGGGCCGTACAATCCGAAACGGTTCGGTCCGGTAAAGTTTCGGGACCTGCCAGAAAATCAAAACCGGTAAGTGGTTTCTTCTTCAATTCCGTTGTGTTAGATTTTTGTTTGGTTTCTAAAAAATTGGAGGAAAATGGAAAAGGAATTTAAATTTCAAATAACTGCTTAGGTTGGAGTTGTTTTTGTAAGATTGTGATTAAATTTCAAATTTTGATTCATATAATTGACCTTTTTTTTAAGAAATTATATATTTGATCTTAAATTATGAAATTATAAAAGAATTCAAGGTCCTTAGTTCGTTTGAAGACTAGAATTTCAGATCCTCTCCGATCCTCTCACTGCGACCCGGGGGTCAATACATAATAACCGTTCATCAAAATTGTGCGATCATAATTTTTTCTTTTTTTTTTTAATTTTTTACGCAAAACGAAGCTATTTACTTTTAAAAGTATAAAAAATATTCAATTGTGGCCGGACGTTCTTTTAAGAACGGTTACTATGCGTTGATTCTTGGGATCCTCGGTGAGGGATCCGGAGAGGATCTAAATCCCAAATAAAACAATCCTTAATTTAACTTTAGCAACTGTTCATGTTTGAGAAGTTGAATATTTTATTTGTTGATTTTCCGGCATGATTTGTGTAACTTAATTGACTTGTTTTTCTGATGTGCATGCTATGCAGAACGATGGAGTGAGATTATTTGTTGGGCTACCTCTAGATACGGTTTCAGACTGCAACGCGGTGAACCATGCTCGAGCGATTGCGGTCGGATTGAAGGCTCTGAAGCTGTTGGGGGTGGACGGCGTTGAGCTCCCGGTCTGGTGGGGAATGGTTGAGAAAGAAGCCATGGGGAAGTATGAGTGGACAGGCTATCTTGCCGTTGCGGAGATGGTTCAGAAAGCCGGCCTCAAGCTCCATGTCTCACTCTGCTTCCATGCGTCTAAACAACCGAAGATCCCACTCCCTGCGTGGGTATCTCGCCTCGGCGAGTCCCAGCCTAGTATCTTTTTCAAGGACCGGTCAGGGCAGCATTACAAAGAGTGCTTATCGCTTGCTGTGGATGAACTTCCTGTTCTGAATGGAAAGACTCCGACCCAAGTTTACCGAGACTTCTGCGAAAGCTTTAAATCTTCGTTCGAGCCTTTCCTGGGTTCCACAATCACGGTAAGAAGCCATGCTGCTTAAGCTTTATAACGAAACATTAGTTGTCTCATGTTTTGTACGCGTACTAAACTGTCATTCTCTCCCGTTTTGTCAATTTCAGGGCATCTCAATGAGCTTAGGACCGGATGGCGAGCTTCAATATCCATCTCAGCGCCGGCTAGGCAAGAGCAAGATTCCCGGGGTTGGAGAATTCCAATGTTATGATGAACACATGCTTAGCATTCTTAAGCAACACGCTGAAGCAGCCGGAAACCCTTTGTGGGGTCTTGGTGGTCCTCATGATGTTCCTAGCTACGACCAGTCCCCAAACGCAAACAACTTCTTCAAGGATGATGGCGGCGGTTCATGGGAGTCTCCATATGGTGATTTCTTCCTTTCCTGGTACTCAAACCAGCTTGTTTCTCACGGAGACCGCCTCCTCTACCTTGTCTCTTCAACTTTCAGCGACACTGAAGTGGAAATTTGTGGCAAGGTCCCGCTAATGCACTCTTGGTACAAAACAAGGTCTCACCCTTCTGAGCTGACTTCTGGGTTCTATAACACATCCTCTAGAGATGGTTACCAAGCAGTTGCCGAGATGTTTGCGAGGAATTCGTGCAAAATTATATTGCCTGGAATGGACCTATCGGACGAACATCAGCCACAGGACTCCCTTTCGAGTCCCGAGTTATTACTATCACAAATTAAAACCGCTTGCAGAAAGCATGGGGTTGAGATTTCAGGCCAAAACTCATCAGTTTCGGGAGCTCGCGAAGGCTTTCAACAGATGAAGAAGAATTTGTTGGGAGAGAATGCAATCAACCTGTTCACTTATCAGAGAATGGGAGCTGATTTCTTCTCGCCCGATCATTTTCCTTCGTTTTCTGAGTTTGTTCGGAGCCTTAACCAACCGCAGCTGCAGTCAGACGATCTACCTATTGAAGAAGAAGCTGTTGAGTCCGTACCTACGAATTCGGAATCAGTCGTCCGCATGCAAACCGCTTAATACAAGTTAGAATTTGTGGTTGTATTTGTATGTATAAAACTAGTCTCCTATGTGTATCCGACGCACAATTGTATATAATTCAAGGTTTTAAAAGACGCTAGGCGCTAGTTGGGTAGGCGCTAGTTGGGCGGGAAGCTGAGGCCTAACACCTAGACGCCTAGGCGGACTAGACGGATGTAAGTAAATGTATTATATTTCGTGTAAATAATTGTGTGTTTATACTTAAAATATATATAATTTTATCATAAACTACAAATTAGAATGACATATACATTATGAAGTATTAGAACATAATAAAAACATGGAAAACAAGCATATAATGTGTGTTCATTTAAATATTCAACAAATCTCTTATTGAAAAAATAAAATGCAAAATGAAAGTTTTCTATTTTGTCTAAGTGAGTTGCAACCGAGGCAGGTTTTGGCGGGTTAGGCGGTGGTCTAGGTGAGAGCCTCAGCAAGTCTAGGCACCATTTCTTAATTTTCAAACGCCTAGGCATTAATCAATGCGGTGACTAACCGCCTAGTGCCTAAGCAGGACCTAGGCTGCGTTAGTTGGGAATTTTTAGAACAATGATATAATTCAAATCATAACAAGAACAACATCATATCACTGCGTTACGTTGTACCAAAAACTATGGTCATATGAGCAAAGTTAGGCTTTTATTCTCTCTGGTACACAGTACTATTGGAATCCCACATCGGTGGGTGCAAAAGAAAATAATGGGTTTAAATATGATTACCTTACTATAACTAATATTGAGGCATTTTGGGGTTAATATCTCACACCTGACGGATTAGGCAGGTGGTAAAGTTGGGAACAGTATAGGTGTCGTCAGAGTAAGGCCCTCCCAAGCCTGTCAATCTAAAAAATTTCAATATGGTACCAGAGGCAAGGTTCGGGCCTGTGCAAGCCAATGAGCTTGTCACCAAGAACAAGCCAGGACTATTAACAGAGAGTCAACCTTTGAGTTTCATTGAAAACAAGTCTAGACTCTTAACATAGAGCCGACCTCTGAGTTTCAATTGTCCATGTGTGGATCTCCACATGTGAACCACTAAATAGGGTTTCACATGAGGATGAGTGTTGGAATCCCACATAAGTGGGTGCAAAAGAAAATAATGGGTTTAAATATGATTGCCCTATTCTAACTAATACCGAAGCTTTTTGTGGTAAAATTCCTTGGGCAAATAATAAAGTTGAGGATAGTATCGGTCTTGTCCCCTCCCAAGCCCGTCGATCCAAAAAAATTTCAACAAGTACTTCAACTTCGGCCACCAAATTTTTACAAGCTGTATCGTTTTGTCCGACCACATCTTCTATAGGGCACCTCACAAATGCATCGGATAGCACTATAATTTGGTGCCACTCGACTCAACACCGTGCTATCCCATTCGATAAGAGAGCTGCCTTAACTAGGCAGGCCTAGTGAACTTCAGAACCAAGGGTCTTCAAGCGTGTTGTCGTAGGTTGCTAACATTGCAGCGACGAGGATTAGACGTCGTCCATGTCCTCCGGTCTGAACCTGGTGCCGCCTTTACGTTAGTGGGGTCGCCGATAATAGCTCCCTCACATCCCAAAGCACGCTGCGCTCCTCGGCATGCAACAGTAAGTAATCGGGTTTTATGCCGTACGTATACCAAAGAGCCAAGGTTTGGTATCAACCTCTGCACCAAATGGCATGCAAACACTTCACAAATGCTGGAGTTTGATCAACAAGTATGCTGTGCCTCATCACTCCATAAAACCCAACTCAGCCCTCTTCAGAAAACTCGCAAAATCGGTACCACTGTCAAAATGCACGTAGATTCTTTGATAAATTTCTACGTTGGCAGAAACACATGTCGTTCCATTAACATAGCAAATACTACAAGAAAGGACGGGTGAGGTTTGGGACAGCGGTGGAAGAGCCACCGTCCTTCATCGACGAAGCTTTGCAAAGCAAACTAGTTATAAGGAAGTCTGAATCCAACGGGGGATTGAACAGCCTATACTGACGAAACAAAATATACGTATAAAATCAAATGTGGTCAAATTTCAGGAAAACAGGGTTTGTAAACATAGGCTACTATGTACATTTAAGAAGTAAAATTTACAGCACATGGTGGATGACCAAGAACCAAAGCTCTCCATCTTTAAATTCCAGAACTCCTCCAGGATTTGGCAAAATCATGATCCAGGAAGGGCTGGAGCGTCTGAGCATGCTGTATGCCTGCCAATCCCAGCACTACGATCAGTCAATCACCTTCAGCGAACAGCCTCATTGAATCAACCCACTATAGCTGCTCCTGGACCGCAAGAAAAGGATAGGGTTAATCATGCTCGTTTAAACAGATATTGGCATCTAAAGACCAACCAACTCCATCAACATTACAAACAAAGCACTCAAACAACCGTATGGACTCTGGAAGTGTTACGAGTGTCTAGGGTGAAAGAGTTGTGTTCAAGCATATAATAGTTGGTGAAGTTAGGTTCAAATTTAACTAATTACTATCACGGAAAATAGCTTTCAAATTAATAAATCAATACCTTTATTCACAAGCAATCTTGGTGTCAAAGCTACTGAGGCAGATTGAAAATGCCTGGAATGCTGATATTGGATACCGGTAATCCATGGTAAATAAATCCTTGCCCACTTTCCCAAATTGGAGGATGATCTTCTCGTGTTCTGGTCCTGTGGGTCCATTTTCGGGAGAAGCCACCAACTGAAAGTTTTTCACTGAAGCAACTGTTACTCGTCCATGAAAGTTCAAACACCAACACTGGAGTTGTTCATGCCACCGAGGAGACTTGTTTCTTAACACCAGCACCCCATATTTCTGTCTGGCCAAAGGCCCTGACAGAAAACTCTCAACGCGGTTTGATTTCGATCGGAAAAATGGGAGGGATGGAAATAATTCTGCATTATTATGTGAAAACTCTGCCTGTGTGGGGGCCACTCCTCCAGGTTCAACTGAAGAGGATGGAATCGAATCCATGGTACACTGCATTCTCCTTGGACCCCTGCTTATAAATATTTTCTGTGAGCTTTTTAGTATCCTCAGTTTGTAAAAAAGAAAATGCACCCCAAGTGTACCGAAAAACTTATGATCACACACAATGTTGTTGTGAGGATTGCGAAGAATTATAGGAAAAAAATGAAAGCATCACCTATGCAGATGGAATACTAGATCTAGATGTACTCTTATAATTTCATTTCTAAAGTATGGTTCAATAACTTGTCAACAAGCATAAATTTTACCTGGAGCCCATCATATTTAGTTCATACTGGATTTGAGCCACTGGATAGTTGCCAGCAGGGACCCTAGGGAAAACTTGTTTCAAATTGACAAGCCTAGTGGAGCGGCTTTTTGCAATCTTGTCTCCCGAATGACTTGGCTGCCCATCAAATATTGTGAACTTTGTTCCCAAAAAGTTTGATCTTCACAGAGAGAGAGGGGAAAGTGTGTCAATATTTATGTTCCTGGGGAACAAGAAAAAAGTTAAATCATATACACCTTTCAGCACACCTCAGTTTCCCGATATAGTTGCTGCTCCCCTTGGACATATCATCAGCATGTAGTGAGACGACATAATCAGTGCAGGTGGGGCGTTTAAACTTTCTTGCAGCAAGTAAGAACTTTCCTTCATCAGTTAGAGCTGCCATTGACAAACAAAAAAGTTAACAAAAACCTATAGCTTAAAGAGGAAACCAGAAGAGGACAGGTCCACTATTTACAGAAAGCAAAATAGATTTCTTAAGAGAGAAATCAATACCTACAAGATCTAACAAAAAATTAGAGCAAATATGGAAAATCTATATCTTTGAAAGACAACCTAGAAAAGTTACATGTAATTCAAAATGTACTCAAAACAATGGAACTTCCTTTTTCGGTTAGAAAATGCTCACCATGGGTCAAACCAAGAAAAAGATAATATGTTTGGGTGGAACGGTTCCGTTTGATAAAGCACCGGACAAGGTCATCCCTCGGACCAGGCTGCAACCAGAAAAGAAAAACATATACTGAGCATATGTACAACTGCGATTACGAAGGTAGTGAACAATAAATCAAAAAATTGGAAAACCCAAGATTTTCCAACCCGAAAATCCAACATAATGAGAATTCAGAACATGATTCACATGATCTTACACCCTTCCGCTCGCCTATTAATCCATTTACACTACATGGTAACTAAAGACTGAAAATTGCAATTTTAGCCACTTAAAGCTAGAGCTGGCATATAAACCCATTTGGTTGTTAATGGGTACCCGTTAAGACCCATTTAATTTGATATCACCATGATATAGAGGTAAGATTGGTAGTGGTGATGATAGCCATTAACAACCCAATGGGTTGATTTGCCACCTCTACTTATTGGCAAGAAATTTGCTTTCCAAACATTACAACGACTGAAAATTTGGCTAAATTTGCATATAAGGTCAAGAATTATGCTAAATTTTTCACTCCAAATTCCAAGCACACTCCAGAAGCATCCCAAACAAATCAAGAAATGAAATTTCTACCGAAACCCAATTGTAATGCAGTCATAATCAATAAATCAATAAAAATTGCACCCTAAATGTAAATATTGGACACAGACTCAAACAATTAGAGAAGAACAAGAACTCAATCAATATAAAGTTTTTCCTTTTTTTTCCTAGAGAGAGGGTGGAGAGATAGACCTGCTTGACGGAGATGGGGAAGGTCAGCTTCCCAGAGAACTCCGGCGCCTTGACGATCTCCTTGGTAAGGTGCCTCCAACTCCGGCAGACACCGGCGCAGGCGACCACGCTCTTCCGCGGCGGCCAAGCGGCCTCGGAGGCCTCGATTCTCACTAGCACCTCTCTGAGCAACTCCTGAGGCATCTGCGCCCAGCACATCTGATTCAACGGCTCCCCCACCGCCTCGCCGGCCGGCCTCGCCGCCGAAACCACCACCCGCTGCGACCGCGAGAACTTGATGTCCTGGATTAAACTCCTTATCGACATTTCCCAACTGATTCAAACTCCACGACAAAGAAGAAGAAGATGAGATGAGAAATTGGATTTGGATTTCAAATGGAGGATGCGGGAATTTGAAGAAGAATCCAGCGGGCAGAGCACCTAGGCATATTTTTTCATAATTTTCTCAGTTATTTTATGCTGTTTCTTATTTGTTGTTTGTTGAGTGTTTTTCTTTTCTGGGGTCCATATTATTATACTCTCTAATTATTTCGGGGGGTGATTTTATAATTTAATTATTCAAAATTGTTCAACAAAAATTGAAATCTGTGAAATGGAAAACGTGATTTTATTTTATATTCTTCCTGATGTGGAAAAAAAAGATTAGGCATATTTTTATCATGTCACAAATAATTTTCTCTTATATAATATGCATCTCTCAATTTCTCTTTTTCTTTTATTTATCCAATTATACATATGTGAATTTTCAGTATAATCGTCATACTCAACATGTTACAAACTACTTATGTTAAAATGCATATTTTATTTAGGGACGGTGGTACGTACACCCAATTCATGCACCAATTAATGTAGCAAATTTGACGTCATATAAATTTTTATCGTAATTATAAATCAAATTCCAACTTAAATTGAAGTATCAATTGGATTTGTGCCATATTATTTGATGCACAAATTTAAAGTGAAATTTTTTGTGACTCGCATTATTCTTTATTTATTAAAATCATACTCTTAAATATAAAATTTTATTTACCATTAAGTAATAAAGGAATTAGTAACATCAAATGATAGCACTTGTACCGAAATTGTATTCCAAAAATGAATGGATGTTTTATTAGGTTGGACTTCAGCGGTAGGTAAGAGTTTTTAAGTCCAATACAATTTAACCAAACTAATTAACCAAATTAAGTTCAATCTAATCTAATCTTATCGGATTTGGTTAACTTTGGTTTGGTGTTTGAATAAATAATCAGTATGTTTTAATTTGGGGAAATTTGTTTCAATGCAAATTAGTTGATTTCCTTCTACTTTAATGTTAATGAAGAATATCTTCCCCCTAAAGAAAAAAAAAAATTACATTCCCCCCGTTTGTAAGACCAGCTCCAGTAATACTAATTAATTTTTTTATTATTGTAGCTAGCCAAATGAATTAAATGTTGTCATTTAGTATCTACGATTTAGTGATATTTCTCTTCATTTATAAGTGAGAGGTTTTATGTTCGATTCTCGCCAAAGACGAATTTGAATCACATTATTGCTAGTCCATTGTGAAGCTATGCTCACCTCCTCCCATTAATCTAAATATTATCGTTTGTTCAAAAAAACAAAAAAAAAATCAAATGTTAATTTAGGTATCACAAGTTTCAGCAATACTAGTTAATATACTTTAGTATTATATTTTTTCAAAACTTGACAACCAGACCCCTTTTTCTTCTCTCGAAGCCCACAAACAATCTAATTTTATAGTTTTCAGATATTTAGCATAAAATTAACGATCTCTCCTCCTAACTATAAGATAGCTAGCCCGTTGGAGTTTGATTTTTCTGCATTTTTTTGGCCGAAGCAGCCAAAAGGTCTCATTTAGCTAGGGTGTTGAAAATACTCTAAGCAAGACAAAGCCTAACCCATATTTCAACTAATAATTTGGTCTCCAACCAAATAATAATAATAATAATTTGGTCTAATAGCCTCATTTAATTCAGTTGCTGCCTGGTGAAAATGCAATTCAAGAAGTCGGATGGAAATTTTCAAATTCAATTCATACTTTATACATCTTGTTAAGTTCCTTGAAAGTGAAATCCATAAGCTCAATCAGACGATAAAGTCTTAAGCAAGATTATCGTGAGAAAATCTTAAGTAAAGTTGTTGTGCGGCGCGGAGAGACACAACGCCCAAAATGGATATATAATCACAGTCTAACTCGATGGGCGGAGCCGCGGATAGCACAAAGTTGCCGGCTGATCAAGTAGGTGGAATCTAGGTATTATAAAACAATTTGCACAGACTAATCCACAAATTGGCTTTCCCTTCCTCTTTATGCACACACGAATTTTTGTTTTCTTGCAAAAGTAGTATCCTAAATTTACGTACTCTACGACTATTACAGCACTTATTTTTGTTTTTCATATTACCTAGGACCCTAGTACAAATTCTGACGGGAATCCCTAACCTAAATTCCATTTTTTACCTTATTGTTTAATTTATTTTTATGAATTTTAAACTCGACCTTTTTTCTTACTTCTTATGGAAGCAACTTACATAGACTGGATTCATCGGATCTTTGGCACCTCGGTCCAATACGCATTGTCATGTAAGAAAAAATTTACGCACGGCAAAGCATATTGTTATATCGAAACCTCATGAGCAAAGGAACTAGTTCTATGTAAGTTCTATCCACAAGAGACTTAAACGGCAAGCAAAGTTCGTAAACATAAAGGGATGAAACAAAAGGAAACAAATGAGGAAAAAAAAACATGTGTAAATGAAGACAATTGAATTGGAGAGGAACACTTTGTTTGTCGGTTGTTAAATGAAAACGCTTGAAATCAGAAACCACCAGACAAACAAACTGGCAAATGCTAATGCTTTGAGACATATATGAGATCCTCTTTCGGAGGAGTCAAACCTGATGTGAAGAGGAACAAAATTGACCTTTTTCTCCCATGAGAGGATTTAGGATTTAGGATTTGCACAAAGGTTTGTATTTGACTCTTGTTTAAGAATACTACATTAGAGACATCTGCAAATCACAGTCGGATACAAAACCAAGTCATTACGATCACAAAAAAAAAAAGTTTCAAACACGTCAAACTGTGATTTGTCCACAACATAAAAGGATGTTGATAACCCCAAAAACCACCCACTCTTCATTTATTTGCTCACAAAAAAAGTGAGCCCACATAACAATTGGTAGGATTAGGAAAGTGACACTCCCCAACTTTTTAAATGGGGGCACTATTGCAAAAAGAGGATGCCAGTCTTATTAATCACATGACCAATATGATTTTCTCAAAGCATCCTTCACCTACACCTACACCTACACCAGCCTTAAATCATCTTTCAATCACTTGTTACATAATTTAAAGAATTTTTATTGGCACTCCAAAAAATTTATCATGCACCCTCTGAAACGTAGCTTCTCATTTGTGTTTTCCCGGGTGTGAAAAACACAAGATGAATTTTTTAGAGTGTAAATAATTGCTCCTACAATTCGTACTGATGAAGATGTTGATTAACAATTTCTTGTTCCAATAAACATATGAAAGCATCAAATTAAAGCCAAGACATGATTAGCATTTCTAGGTAATTCTTTTATCTTGATATCTAGACATGCTTTTGGAAACAAGACCCATCACACACCTAATTGTACTGATGAAGATGTTGATTAACAATTTCTTGTTCCAATAAACAAATGAAAGCATCAAATTAAAGAGATCCAAGACATGATTAGCATTTCTAGGTAATTCTTTTATCTTGATATCTAGACATGCTTTACTGATGAAGATGTTGATTACCAATTTCTTGTTCCAATAAACAAATGAAGGCATCAAATTAAAGAGATCCAAGATATGATTAGCATTTCTAGGCAATTCTTTTATCTTGATATCTAGACATGCTTTACTGATGAAGATGTTGATTAACAATTTCTTGTTCCAATAAACAAATGAAAGCATCAAATAAAAGAGATCCAGGACATGATTAGCATTTATACGTAATTCTTTTATCTTAATATCTAGACATGCTTTTGTAAACAAGACCCATCACACACCTAAGAACAGGGAGGGGCATAATTTAGCATTACTTTAACTGGCATGCCATTATATCTAAAGAATCAAAATATCTAGAATATAATTATGGCATATTTGTCGATTTGTCCCCAAACTTAAATAGTCAATTTCCCCCTTGAACTTTAATTTTAGCCAAGTAACCCCTAAACTTTTGTAAATAGCCAATTCTTCCCTTGCTGCTAGATTTTCAAAAAAAATTCATCCAATTTTCCATTCATTTTGATCACGCAGACAACACATGATAATTGCATGGGGGCAAAAAGAATGGAAAATTGGATGAAAATTTTACAAATCCAACGTCAAGGGGGAAATGGGCTATTTATAAAATTTTAGGGGCGCAATCGACGAAAGTTAAAGTTCACGGGGAAAAATGGCCAATTATAAAAGTTCAGGAGCATAATCAGCTAAAATTAAAATTAAGGGAGAAAATTGGCAGCTCCATACAAATTCGCGGGGTGGGGGGAATCAACAAATACCTCTATAATTAAGCAAGATATTTAAAAATATTGTACCACAATAACAAGAAGCTGTCTAAATCTGTTGCTGTCACACACGTCTTGTGCTGTCTGCTGTTATCACGGATTAGGCCTGTGCTTCTTTCATTGCATAAATGTCAAATGCAAACTTACCAGGGCCCCACCAACTGAGAATTCCCACGTAATTTCAGATTGAATTGGAGCAACATGTTTCCATCTCCACCAGACTTTCCATAGCCACAGGCCCACGGGAGAGGAAAATAAACGATGAGGTGAAATGTTTCTCCATGTAACAGATCGAAGAGTGTACAGAAGAATTGTAGTAAAAGGAAGACGATATTAACGAAACTAATGTAACAGAAAGAATATTGCATCAATTAAAAAGATTCCAAGTATTCATATTTACAAATTCAAGAGTAGCATTTGTTCGACGGAAACTTAGGACAGCGTGCACAGCAATTGATATACAAACATAGTTCAGTGTTGACTATTATGTAGAGGCCTAGAATGAACATTTTAATGATGAGTTTAGTCAATTTCAAAATGAAACCTAAGTCCTAACCTCAAGTATTAGGTCAAAATTAAACCTTAACCGAAGCAAAAATTCCTACCAGCACTCCTATATAACGGGAACGCTGCCAGTTTTCTGTTGCATGGTCCCCAATGATTGTCCTACAAAACCAATGAAACTGTCTGGGTGAAGGATTTATTTACCATTGTGGAAGTAGTTACAGAACAAACAGGTATGATCAAATCTAATGTACACTTCTAACGAAACACTAGACTAAACATCTTACAAAGGATTCAAGAATACCTGAGTTACCCGCAAAAGAATAAGGTTTTGAAAGAATTTTGCTTGTTGCTAAACCAACGCCAGCCACCTGAGGCCTTGGAACATTATCCACAGGAAACTGATTTGAGAAGTCACCATCAGGCAGGTAACCTATTGAGTTCTCCAAACAAACTTCTGAATTTTGTGTGAGAATTTGGTCAGGTTTCCGCAAAGAAGGCAAAGGCTGTGAGTCTCTCTGTTTTACAATAAGTAATTATATCTCAGAGTAGCTGTCTGTCACTAAAAAGTTTGATGGAAAAAGGAGAGGGGAGACAATTTTGCGTATCTTGTTTTGATACTCATTTAACACCTTAATACTAGTGACTCACCATGTCACTACAAAGCTCCTCAGTTGATGCCATTGCCTCATGGTATAGATGACTAAGATCTGATCGGAGCCGATTGCCTCTTTGAGAGTAATATACTTTAGTAGCCAGGGGAAGAGGACAATCTGATTAACACTCTTTGTCAAATAGTGTGAGCAGAGAGCACGTACAGTAGATTATTGGGAAGGAATGGTCATCAGGATAAACTTTCCCAAGAAGTTGATTGAAGTTCAAAATGTACATATGATGATTCATCTTTAATCCAAGACCTTATTGTTAATCTTTGCATGGAAAGTAAAAGAACTTACCAAACGGACACTATTATTAGCATACCTTTAATTGGCAGGCAGCAATCAAGGGCTTGCCCGGACTTCTTATATTTAAGAGCAGAAATGGCTCCTTTTGGAGAATCCCTATCTGCGCACATTCAAGAAATACATACCTAGTGAATACACCATAAATTTAGAAGCAACTAGAGAATCAAAAAAGTTTTAGTAACATCAGAGGTGATAGTTACCATATTTATGCATATATAAAATAATGAAACAATGAAATCCATTTGTAGTTTATTCCCTATTTCAGTTCTTCGTTTCCTCTAGGGTGTGGGGTGGAAATCAAAAAGTTTGAATTAATGCGTAATGAGAATCAAACATCAAAATCAACTATATCCAACTTCTCATACTACGAAAAATGGTTGCGATATACTCATTCCCAAGTAATGAGGGTAGCTATACATGAAAAGTTATAAATGCAAAGACCCTCTATTTTAAATTTTAAGATTAGGGAGGATTTATAAGTATAATATAAAATAAAGTGATTGGATATTCGATAATTGACAAGCTACATAAAAATGTATAAGAAGATGATTAAATATAAAAATTCCAAGAATTAAAGATCCTCACAAGGATATGCATCCTCAGTACTTGCAAGTTTTGATACAGCAGATGCTGTTCCTATATCATCTGATAAAGGCAGCTGCTGACCTGGTATCCTACAAGTGGGCAAAAAGGCATTTGCATCATTTAATGGAAAAGAAAGACAAATATCTAACAGCATTTAAAGGCTTCTTCTATAATAAATACAAAAATAAAAAATAAAAAAAATAGATCAACTGAACATTTCCAATAAGCCATTGCCTTTGACTTATATAAAGGATGCAAAAATTTATCCCACTTTTGAAACTTTGCAATTTCACCCTACCCACCATTGGTAGGTAGCTAATAAACAAAAATAAATAAAGATAAAAAACTTTGCAATTTAAGGCATCAACAAAAGTAGCAACACGGCCCTTATCTCTAGAAGAAGCCAAGGGAAGCACAGGTTCAGGAACGATTAAAAGAAGAATTCACCTAGATCACATTCCTAAGCGCACATTGTCTAGACATTCTTTCTAACCCCACTACAGGAAATATGTCAAAAGCCACTACGAGTCCATTCCTCTAAATTGCTCCAGAAACACAATGCACAAGTACTCAAAATCCTTAAAAGAGGGAAAGAAAATTGACTACGGTACTTGGCTGTGCGATCAGAGGAACTGGGGAAGCGAAAGAAACTGACTGAAGGAAAACAGCGAGAACAGTAATGTGCAATATATGTTCAAAGTTCAAATAGAGGCCTTTTAGGTACTTAAGATATGTATATATAATCATAATGCAAAGATGATTAATGGTTACAAGAATAAAAAACATACATTTTAAATCGTTTTGTCGGTGGAAGGGTCACAGATGTTGAGCCATTAGTATTTCCTGGACTAACTCCAGAACCATCAATCATGTACGTCGCGTCCGCATAAGCTGAATTCACTGTATGAAATGGTACATAATTGAACAAATCTTTATGCAGAATAGCTGTATAATAATTTATTTTATTGCTTTATTTGGGAGATCTTTTTTGCTCTCTGATAAAGTCATTATGCACTCCTCTCTAGTGAAGAAAATAAAGGAGGGAAGAGTGCAGATTTGAGCAAATCAACTTAAGAAAGCTATTGTAACATTGCTAGATGATACCAAGAATAGAACTAAACTCCAGGGAGAATCTTATATATACACAGAGTCTGCAATATGCCAAATACTTCACAAACCAGGCCTTAAGTTATAGCCTGATTAATTTGTTGAGGAACATGATTTAAATGCCAAATTGTACCCTAATGGTGAAAAAGTAACAAGTGGGGAAAGGAAAGGAGAAGCGTGATAAAACAAAGCAGAATTTTGAAATGATGAAGTCAAGATATCAAATTGAAGACAAGAATAAGTGCAAGAAAGAGTTACTTTTTGCCTCCATAAAAGAGCCAGGATTCATTCCAATTTGCCCATCCAACTGGAATTGTGACACAGAGTTATCGTCTCCATCTACATATTCAGATCGTTCTAGCTCTCCAACTAAAGTGGCCTGGTCTAGAAAAGGTTAAGAACCATTGAATTGTCACGCAATTAGAAAACGGTATCCTCTGATTCAGAAAAAAAAAATACCACCAAGATGCTACTTGCAGAACACTTAGAAAATTGTGTTAACATAATAACTGCTATTAACTCTTCCATAACACTAAACTTTAATACACTTTGGTTCAAATAGAAATGAATAAGAGAAACGAGATGAGGCATCAGTAAGAAATGTAAGAAAGAACAAGGAAACACTAAACTTTACTATTAAAATAAATAAAAAGTAGGATACTAGCATGAGCAGTTGATGACTTTTTCCTCTCCTTTCTTGGAGGCTTCCTTTGCCCCATACTTCCATCAAGCTCCAAAGTAGTTTCCTGCGTAGATTTTAATAACCTACAAAGTTCTGAAAATTTCGGGCTATTTCAGCACCGGGCTAAACCGGCAGACTTAAAGAGTTAGGAAGGAACCAATTAGCAAACACTACATGCAGTCCAATAAACATGGATAAGGTCTCTGCCACATTGAGAGATCCTAGATTGGAACGTGAATATTCATGCAACACTCTTTTCTCTATCAAGCATGCAACACATTTTTTTTCTCCATCAAGCATGCAACACACCACATACAAACATTTGAGCAATAAATATTGTGAAGAGAACTACTTCACATCCAAAGGTTTCCATTGGGTGTTAGCATCGAGTACTTTTTTACATGGTAGCATGCTTCAAATTATAACGCGCAAGAATACTGCGCTGACACACATACACATATAACAAAGGGGAAAAAACATGTGCGTCTGCATATAAAAGGCTTAAGTAACACAAAAAAACTATTTGAAGGAAATAACAGAAAAAAGGACCTCCAAACCTGCATGAGCTGCATACTGACTGGCCTTGACCGGTTTTTTACAACCATTGCAACATACCTTCACAGTATGTTAAATAATCAAATTGGATAGAGGTTATGCATAGAGATATAACCACACAAACACGTAGATATAAACAATTACACAGATCAGTTAGGTAAAGTTAGGTACCTTTTTTTATTTTATTTTTACTTAAAGTAGATAAGTTATATAAAACACAAAAGTATTCATATCTAACACAATCCATCTAGTAAAGGCAATTTGTGCATAATCAAAATATCATGTTTTTTTTTTTTTTGAAGATTCTACCATGGCATTTTGATACGTAATAGACCATAGAGAGACAAAAGGCGCAACTTTAAGTACTTTTGTCCCTTCGGGATATTGATAAAGATTTTAGTCATTATATGCATTCACATAAATACTTGGGAGTAACAGTGTCTTCAGATTATAGAAGCAGAGGTCTTATTGTTGACACAAACACTCTCACAGGCTAAAGTAGTCACTAATCGGGTGATGATACTTGTTTGACCTATATAAATCTAAACCTGAGAGAAATGTCTTAATTTCTCAGTCCAGTGAAGGACAGTGGATGGTAATCCTCTCTCATCCACAAGACCTCAAACCAAGGTAAAGGCCAGATTCAACCCCTGGTCCCTGGATATAAACCCCAAGGTACCTTACCTACATTTCTGCTAGCCACAAAATCATATTCCATATTAGTTACTATATCCAAGAAGTCATAAGGTTCCTACAGCGATCACACAGAAAACTGTATAAAGTTCCACTCAGCCTCTCACTGCACCATAATTCATATTGACTTATTTGTACATAAAACGAATTTTTTTTTGTTACAGACAGAGACCATAGTAATTGTTGATCATCACACTGATCCAGTGTAATCAATTTGAATTTTGATGACTTCGCGATCATTTACTTTCTTCAATGTGTTACTGCAACTATCCACTACTTGAAGTTTACTCACCCCAAGAAAATAAATTCATGTTCATTTATTAGCAAAAGAAGTCACTAGAGACTTAGATGGTTAAGGTCTCCCTTATTTCCAGTTAAGAGGAAGTTATGAGTCTTATGACCACTTACAAGCACACAGGTAGTAAATATAAGTTTCTAATGTTTATGACTGGAGATATAAAGAAAGTGCCATCTTGAACAGTATTACATACGTACATGATTAGGTACAAGTTTGTTCTGTGCAAAAGCAGAAATACTCAGAATACATGGGCAAATCAATGTAATCTAAACCTTACCAAATGTAGAGGATCATCCATCGGCTTCAAACCAAACACATGCATATCTGCAGACCCATATGGAAATCATTAAACAAAATTGAACCAAGAACTGTGATACATATGCATCTGGAAAACTAAATTTTTAGAAACAGAATGAAAATAATTAAAGTTGCACATTAATCTGCCAAAGTTGATCAAAATGGTCTTAACTATGTTTATGGATATATAGTATTTTAATGTCGAATAAAAGATGTTCCTAGTCGATTATCATTAACCTCGTGACCGTAGAACAAGTACACTTCTTTATTAAAGCCGTGTCCGAATTAATTAAAGATATCACCTTCTTCATCAAGTAAATTAGCTTCATTTGCCTCACTTAATTCTCTGCAGATTATTTGAGCAGCAAACTTGTGATGGCCAACTCCTTCTGTACGGATAATACAGGGAATGAGGTTCATAACAAACCAAACAGGCAATGCAATGCCATAGATTATAGTGAGGCAGAGTGTAGAAATCCCACATAATGAACAAGACTACATGCAAAGGTCATATAGTACCTGTTATGCTCTGTGAGACATTCACGCCCGCCAGAAGCCTTGCCATGACGGCCATCGTCCCATTTCCAAGTGGACAGACCATTGAGACTCGTATATTTGGTAGGTAACAATCAGCACTACTCACTTCCACTGTCGAAAAAATGAATCCACGTAAAACCGTACGAACATTATCCAGCCTCGCACTACCACAGAAGAACCGAAAATCACTACGCGGATTGTGAGCCTGCAAGTAAAAATAAATTCACATAGCAAGCACATTTCAAAATGCATGGCCAATTCACAATTACAAGCACGAAAGAACCTATCTTTTTTCGCAATTCAAACACATAATTAACCGCTGCTCTAAACCCAAATTTAGCAAAAAAAAAAAAAAAAAAGGGATTCATCAATGTGCGACCGCAATCCAAAACCCTATCAAAACCTTCATCCTAAAGATCAATTCGAATAAATGCTTAATCAACCACCTCAAACAATCGAAATAAAAAAATCAAGCAGCCGATGAACCTCACCTACACCTCAGTCCGTGCTCGCAAGATTCCTCCGAACAAAAGCCCTCGCAATTATCGGAGACGACACCGAATCGGAGAATCCGAATCGGCAGCAATCGAAAGTCTCCGCGAGCCCGGAGCAGTCAATGCTCGCAGTAGCGGAGCAGGAAGAGAATGCGCGAATGCAGAAACCCTAGAACGAAAGGGGAGAGAGAATTTCACTTTTCGTTTTTGTTTGCTTTTTTGGAGTGAGATTTGAAACCGGAAAACGATAATTGAGTGTGGGTGGGTTTTCTGTATTTTCCGTTTTCTGCTCCTCCGAGAGAGAGGGGGAGAAGAAAAGAGGGAGAGAAGAAGAGGTGGCAAAGCTGGGGACGGCCGATAGATTTTTGTCTTTTTCCTGAATTTGTTTGGCCGCGCGTTTGAAATTGTAAGCCAACTGCCGACACGTGTATCTCGGCCCCCAAGGGTTTCAAACAAATTTCAGGAGAAGAACCATCACAGACCAGTAGTTAGGGATAAATTTTAAGAAGAACTAATGAGAAAAACTAAAAAATTATGAATTTTAATAATAAGAACTAAATAAAAGGTAAATAAATAGTACTAGGATTGACTTTTTAGGGTAAAAATATGATTTTTCATTAAAGTGAACAGTACTGAGAACTTTTCATTAAACTTCTCTAAATTTTAGCCCGTATTCTATACGGCACATCCTGAGTTTGATTCCTAACATTGGTGAATCACACGATGATGACCAACAAAAGGCTGAAATGCCTTTGTGAATCTTTCCAACTACTGAAAAGGTGGATTGTCATGACGAAGTCACCAGCTAATCTCTTTTAAAAAAAAAAAGTAAATAAATAAATAAATTCAAGAAAAGTATGGATACATTATTACTAAACTTTGATTTTCAGCTAACCAAGCACCAATTTTTCCATATATTTCTTGTTGGAAATATTCTTGTTCCTATTGATAACGAGTGGGACCAAATAATTCAATCAGGGTAGTTGTTGAACCATACCACATAATTTCAGCAACTACAAAAGTGGCAAAAAAGATAGCAACAATCCTATTTGGGTGATGTTTTGACTCTCGTGTCAATACAATAAAATATTTATTTATTTATATGCTCTTGTTTCGTTGCATGAGATGTATGACAGTGTATCTGTGACATGTAAATTGTTCTCATAGTAATAACATTTGGTAAGTTCTCTTTTTTATTGTCTCCACATTATACACAGTGCTTTTTGTACCCATAATTATGTTTTTGTTTTAAAATTTGCATTTGATTTATTCAATTTAAAAAATAATAATAATAAAATAGTGTAAAGAAACAATAAGGAAGCGCAACGATTACTCTCACTAGGTGACTGGAGCAACCTAACAAATGTCACAATTTTAACATTTTACATTATTTCAAAGTCTACTCAGTTTTGTGCATCAACGCCAACTTTTCTTTTCTTTTCTTTTTTTATTACCTTCATTTCTCTTGGGTTCAAAACCAAATTGAGTTTATTGGAATATGAAGATGGTGGTAAACCAACCCAACAAGTATCCATACAAGCTTAGACATGGAGCTATGGGATCCAAGCCCATTGACTATATAGCCCAAGCCTAACTCCTCGTATAACCCTAATGAGCCCAGATCAACCTTCTGGGCTGGTTAAGGCCATGGTGACAAAGTTATGTTGAAATTGGTCTTCATGATGTTCCTCTTAGGCCCATTATAATAAGATCTAGCTTTTGGGCAATCTTATTAGTGTCATATTACAATACGTTTATATGATCATGAAGAGGATCTTCTCCATATCCACTTTGTTTTCACATCTTAACCGTTCATCGTACATAGTGTGATCAGTTTTCATCAAATACTATTTGTGTTTAATTTTAAATAAAAAAAGTCAAATGATTTCTAACCGCACGATACATAATGAATGGCTAAAAGCATCTCCAAAGGAGATGTCAAAATTCTAGGTGAAATGCCACTATACATATTTGACATCAAAAGTTTCTCCAACCGAAATGTTATTTGCTAACTGTATTTACCGGCTTAGTGATTTAATGTCAAATTTGACATCAATGTCAAATTTATTTTTAATTCCTTTTAATAGTGGGTCCCTTATTCCACTAATATTTCAACCAATAAAAATTTTGTTTCAACATGTTTTTAATAATTACAATCATTTAAAGTTCTATCTAAATAATAAAATAATATTTGATAATTTGGTTGGAGAAGTACAAAATTTGACATAAGGCTTCAGATTGCCACATCAGCGATCAATTGTAATTTGACTCTTATAATTTGACATTTCCTTTGGAGATGGTCTAAGATGTGGGGATCCTATGGTTTAAGATGTGGGATCCCCACAAAGTGGATCCCAATGGGATCCAATTCCATATGTTTATGATACTGTTATTCTCACTGTCGTTTGATTTCAACATTGTACGTGAGAGGTATAGAATAATAAGATAGTGTATTTATAGTTTGGAGCAATCCACGACCACTAACATGCTACATTCAAGTGTAATTATATTTTATTATGCGATGCAAGATTTTACTTTCATGATGTGAGATAACCCTCTCAACGTATATATTTTTTACTCCTTCAGAAGCTAAAGTTGAATGATCGAAGTCTCTTTTAGGTTCAGTCGAAGAGATCGAATCATTGGATTTTGAAATTCTGACATCATGCACGAAAGGGGGAGATAACTTTTAATCTCACGCCCCAACGATGAAAAAATTTGGAGTGTTGTCAAAGACAAGATCAACATAATAATCATGCTTAGGCATATATCCATGCTAGAAGCTTAATTGGGAAACAGAATCAGTGAGAAGGGTTTTGGTTGATATAGGGTACCCCTCATGGTACAACTTGGGTAGGAAGCAAACTCATGCAAACAATGGGTCCATGCATGATGGAATATGGTATGTACTACTATTGGTCTATTAGAAGAGAGAGACTTATATGAAAGGAGTTTGCCGTTACAGTGGTATCATGAGTCAGCGGCATCACGAGTTACTAATACAAGGTTATGGGTAACACTCTCTTATCTTTGTATTAGTGGTTGGAAACACTATGACAACTGTGAGCCCATTCCACCTAAGCCATTCTCCCTGTCAAAAATTTCTCCAATCGAATTTTCCTTTATGTGATCTTTACACCTTTTTATGATGTATCACTATATTCTAATGTGAGTATTTCTATAACACGTCATGTGATTAATTAGTAGCGGAGTTAGATTGGGGTCAATGGCTGCTCATAACTGTTAGAAGTATAAGAATGTAAGGCTGAGATGATGCCACATGTAAACAGATTAGCTTGTTTGTTATAGTTGTTATAAGAGTCGGTTTACTAAGGATATAAATACTCCATCTTGTAATAGCTTATGTGTTAAGATACAGATATTAATTCAATCATATTTTCTCTCTACAATCTTCATTCTCTTTCTCACTCTCTCTCTCTATCTTCGTAAGAACCTGTGTTACTGGGTTAACATGGTATCAATCGCCATTTTTGCTCACGCATAAAGATCTGATCCTTTGTTGCTTCCGCATTCTACCAATCTTCGTCTGCTACTCTGGAGCTGAATCGTCTCTTCTCTTGGTGATTTCGCTTGGTGATTTCTCTTGGTGTTCAAGATTCTAGGGTTTCTAACTCACATCACGATTCTTGTTTTCTGGGTGTTTTTTGACTGCACACCAGGTGTTTGCTTTTTTGTCTGAGCCACAGAAAGGTATTCTTTCCCTCAGTTTCTTTGTATACAATCATGGTTACTGCTTCGCAACTTCAGATTTTGCAATCTCCGATTACTGGGTTGATTTCCTCTGTGTCCACTTCTGTGAATGTCAAATTGGATGACTCTAATTACCTTAATTGGCATTTTCAAATGGAATTAATGCTGGAGGGTTATGGAATTATGGGGTTTGTTGATGGTTCGTCCCCATGTCCTCCTCGTTTTGTATCTTCTTCTTCTGTTGCATCTGAAGTCAGTTCTGGTGATTCATCTGCCAATGTTGAATCTGATGAATATAAAGTGTGGAAAATGCATGATCGTGCCCTTATGCAGTTGATCACGGCTACACTATCTCCTGTAGCTGTTTCTTGCACTATAGGGAGTACTAGTTCTCAGGACATTTGGACTCGTCTCAAAGACAATTTCTCGACAGTTTCAAGAACTAGTATCTTTCAGATGAAGTCTGACTTACAAAACATTAAAAAAGGCTCCAATACAATTTCTCAGTATCTGCAGAGAATCAAAGAGGCTCGAGATTATCTTTCTGCTGCAGGAGTGTTCTTTGAAGATGAAGATATTGTGATTTTGGCTCTAAATGGATTACCTCCTGAATATAACACCTTTCGGTGTGTCATTCGTGGAAGAGAAAAGGTTATCTCGTTGAAAGACTTTCGATCTCAATTGCTTGCTGAGGAAGGAATTGTTGATGCTAGTACTAATGCTCATATGTTGTCTGCAATGTTGGCTACCAATTCTTCTCCTACTGACAGGGGTTCTAGTGATCATTCTTCTAGTCATTCTTCTAATTCTGGGCAATCCAACTATGGTTTTCGGCAATACAATAATAAATACAAAGGCAAGGGCAAGTTTCATCAAGGCAACAGATTCAACATGCCAAGGCAGTCATATAATACTCAAACTCGAGTCCTTCCAACTCCAAGTCCAGGTCTTCTTGGTCATGCCCCTCAACAAGCTTATGGTAGTTGTTCAGATCCTTATAATACTTGTCAACTGTGCTATCAAGAAGGCCACACTGCACCTTTCTGTCCTAATCAATTCCGGTCCAAGCCTAAGTGTTACATTTGTGGCCGACAGAATCACACGGCTCAGTTTTGTTTTCACAAGGATAAAGATCCTCGTCTCTCACAACCACAGTTTGGCATGTTTCCTAATTCCTCTCCTCCACAATACTCTATGCAAGCAATGAACACTGTGTTTCCTAATCCTTCACAGTCAACACCTGGACTGTCCTCCACTCCAGCTGCTTCACCTCAAGTTTGGATTGCGGATTCTGGTGCCACCAACCATATGACTGCTGACTTCAACAATTTGACCTTGGCTACTCCTTATCCTACTTCTGAAACAGTGCACACTGCTAATGGTGAAGGTCTGAAAGTATCTCATATTGGGAGTACAATTCTCAAATCTCATCTTCATCCCATTAAGCTGAATTCTATATTATATGTGCCTAAATTGTCTCAAAACTTGTTATCTGTGCATAGACTCTGCCTTGACAACAACTGTTGGTTCATATTTGATGCCTATAATTTTTGGATACAGGACAAGGCTACAGGGAGGATACTGTTCAAAGGAATTTGCAGTAATGGGCTATATACATTCCCTTCACTTGTCAATCATCATCCTGCATCTCAGAAATCGGTTTTGCAACCCACAGCCTTCCTTGGTC